CCTCAAACACTAGAAGATGCTATGCTGCATCCCCCACATGATTCCATCTCTAAGACTATTCCCTTGGAGCTAGCAGATGGCGTAATGGTTTCATCGCTGAACTCCCACATAGTCCACTGAGATTTAAGTCTCAGACCCTGTGGCTTGAAACTCACACTGGGTGCATGTGCGTGTGTCCCCAAAGTCCCAAGAGGAGAATGGAGGAGAAGGGCTTGCAGAATAGTCATCCCTTCTGGGGGGTGATTTCTCGCTTTCTGTCTGTCTCTCTCTCCTGTGAGCACATGTGCCCTATAGCAAAAATTTCTCAAAAAAAAAAAAAAAAAGAAAAAAAAGAAAAAAGGACATACCCAGCTACTTTAATTGCTCATTGTTGTCTGCCCTTTTAATCATCTACCCATAGAAGATATCAAAAGTTGTCAAAATTTCCCTGAATTTGAATATTCAAAACAATATATTGCTTCTCTTGCCAAAAATAAAACATTGATCTTAGTCATTTAATTTATATTACAAAGAACTACTATTTATTAAAGATTCCCTATGTGCTTGGTGCTTAAAATAACACTGCAAGGGAGACATTATCATTATTATTATTAATATCACATTTTGCAGATGAGAAGACTGAGTTGGAAAAGAATGGAAAAATAGGACAAAGTCAAGACCTCCATTTAGAGCCTTTTAAAAAATATTATTCATTAGTAGCCACTTGGGACAGTAGTTGATAATGACAATAACATGACGGTAACCAGGCATACTTCTGTAGGTATTCAGGGTCCCAGAGTAGAAGAGACATAAGATGAGGCAAAACATAGGATCACTTGCACATCCTATAGAAAAGTCCGTGTAAGTCTTAGAGGAGCTGGATATATGTCATGTTGAAGTGTGGTCTATAATGACCAACCAAGTAACCTGGTATAGTGCAGTGGTTTCCAAAACAGTATATACCCAGTCTAAGAGAGTTGGCGGAGGTTCTGCAGACTGATACTAGACAGAGGGCAGGATCCAGACAGTGGGCGCTTTCTGCCTTCTCTCCTCAGCTTCAATCAAACACCTCTGTTATTCTCTAGTTTTATTTATTTACCCCAAACAGAAATAAATACAGAGAAAAACAATAAAAGGGATGTTGGGAGTGGGGGAGAAAGAGTGCAAGAGAAACCACTAGTCATGAAAAATATACTGATTTGGAATCAGTTTGTCCAGATTTGAGCAAAGTAAGAAAACAGGAATATATTTATTAATGAGTGACTTGGAAATGGTCTTCAGCCACTCTAAGTTTAAGTTTTCTTGCCTTACATGTAGCAGGTGCTGAAAGATTTTTTTGAACAACAGACAAATAAATTCATTCATGAATAAATTAAACATTTTGCATTTTGGCAGAAATTATATTGCAAGGTTGTAGTGAAGATTAATTCTAATAGAAGGAGAGTTTAGTAATCCTGGCACATACTAGATGTTTTGAAAATAATGATAATATTTATTACTGAGTCAGTGCTTCTTTGATAAACATACAGGTTCCCAACTGGCACTTTTCTCTAAGCTAGACAGATCCTTCATTAAACTTGAGAATGAGTGTTATACGCTGCGGAATATTTGGAATATGTCAGTGTCCTGAAGGGTTTTCCAATCACAAGGAAAGAGTCTGAGAATCTTAGATGCTTCTTGGTTCTCCACTCTTGGAAACGTGAGTTGGGAAGTTTGTTGGCAAGAATAGTGGCAACTTGTTGTCTGGAAGAAGCCTTGCCATTGGGCCAGATGTGCCAGAACCATGTAACAATTCAGTGGGATCAATCCCTGGAACCCCAAATATGAGCATATTCCTTGGGCTGGAATCACACTCTCAGAGACATCCCACTCTACAGAGTTAGCACATTTGTCTTCTGGATAAGAACAGATAATGAACTTATAGACTATTCTTCTTAAAAAGGGTGGTGGTGGGGGGAGCATACCAAGCTTTTGATTTTAAAACTTGGGTCTCTAACATACCTACATTATTTCTATTTAAGTACCTTTGTGTTGTGAATCATATTCAACTGCTGCAGATTCTAAGTTCTCCAGGGCAAGCCCTTGTCTTTGCATAGGTTGTGTAAATGGTGCAGACACTTTTAGCACTTTTGGCGTAACAGATGGTTATCATTTGTAACAAAAGAATAAGAACAGTTTGTGACATGTCTTAGAAGCTTGGTGTGCAAGAAGAATTTTATTTTACATATATATATATATATATATAAACACATCACAACTAAAGATATGTTCCCTACTGAGGAAACCCAATAATTCACTCCTGTTCTAGAAAGTGGACCATCAAGAGTTAATTCTAATTATGTAAAGATTTTTTGCTTTACATGACAGCTTTTTTTTTTTTCTTCCTTTTCTAAAGAGTCTCTTTAAATAGCTAGATCTCTTTTTGGAGTATTCAAAATTGGATTGCTTTACAAAATGTTGATTAGCTTCAACTTTTCGGGAGCAAAGAGAGTGCAAGGAAGTGGGGCATTTCTGTCAGGTGTCAATGACAAAATCTCATGCAGTGGTCACAGTGGAGGGAAGAAAGGCTGTTTCATATTCTTAGCCCACCAAAGGCAGAATGTCCAGATGTAGCAAGTGGCTTTTATAGGTATTTCAGGCAGGAAAATAAGGCCAGTATTGGGGTCACTGGTCATTAATTATGTGATATTGTTAGCCAAGGTCATCAATCTGTGTTCTGAAGCAATCATGTATTATTCAGCATGTACTAACCTATTAGCTTAAATAGGGATGCTTTTTTTTTTTAAATTGAGACAGCTACATAGACAAAGCTGATTACTTTTCCCTTTTTTTTTTTTTTAAAGGTTTTTGCTATAGGGTGCGTGCACTCGCCAGGAAGAGAGACACAAAGCGAGAAATCACCCCCCCCAGGGGGGATGGGCATACTACAGTCCCTTTTCCTCCATTCTCCTCTCAGGATCTTGGGCATGCACACACACATGCCCAGCGTGAGTTTAAGTCACCAGGCCCAGGACTCAAACCATGGTCAATTACATGGGAGTCCAGTGACATAGCCATTATGCCAACTGCTGGTCCTGACAAAGCTGATTACTTTTATCCATACAAATGAAAACAGAAATTTGAAGGCATGTGATGTATTTCCTCTTCCAAAAGTAAGTTGCAGGAAAGGAGAGGAAAAGAATTTGTAATAGGATTAGATGAGAATACAGGGTCAGAAGAAGAGACCCCAGATTAATGACAGTCTTTCTCTTCTCTTGTCAAACCCTCTTTCTTTCCAAATACAAAGTAGACAGGTTGGCATCAGTTTTTCATGTTAGTTCTCACTTCCAATGCATAGCATTGAAAAAGCAGCAATGCACACTGCATCATTCAGTTAGCCTATAAGTTTTGCACAAGCACTGTGCTAGACTCAAAGAAGGGAAGAAAACAAGACAGGGAGGAAAGAAACAAATACACATTCAATGATATCTGAGTGTCTTGAAAGACCATGCAGTATCTTCAGGTACTGTTCTAAGCTGGCTTTTCTAGTAGGAAAATGAACACACTCCATTTCAAGATGGCTCCTGTAGCCAAACGCTCTATTAATGTTTTCCCAAAAGTTCTAAAGCAATAGTTTTATCTCTTTCCAGATTTGAGCGGACTGCTGAGAACCCTTCTGCAAGTCCTATCCACTGTGCTGAAAGACTGTTCGTAAAACTAAGGCAAACGCACTGAACATTTTAACAAGAACCAGGGGCAGTGAAGGAGTATTTGGAGGTACAATACTTGACTTCTCCTAGGGCTGTTCATTTATGCATTCCTCTATGCGATTATGTCTTCCTGCCTGTAAGCTTGTGTATGCTTTGTGTGCTCACGTGGGCCTATGTGTTCCGAATAGAAGGGGCGTTTGATACATTTAGTGGGTCTTGGGCTTGGAGAGTCTGTGAGGAAGGAGGAGGGTCATGAGTCAGGTGGAATGCAGGACAAGTTGGAAACTCCGGTGGACGGAAGATAATTTGTATTTGATTGATTCACATTCTGGTTGGTATTTCAGGTTTTGCTACACTTCCGTTGAGGAATGTCCCTGTCACCCCCCCCCCCATTACCTGCAGTCGATGTTCAGAATCAGGAACAGCACATACAGGGTGCGGATGGAGGCTCCTCATCAGCCCCCAAGAGACAATCTGATGTGTGCACCTAGGGGAGTTGATTCTCCAGGGTGTAAAAATGTGTTCCTGGGACCATCTGGGACAGGGCTGAGGGTAAGGACTGGGACAGCTGGACAACTGAAGCTTTGGCCCTTCCTAGACAAGGGAGTACAGAAGGGAAGGTGGGCTACCCCCAGGGTGGGAGTGGGGTTCGTCCCTCCTAGCCCTGGGCAGGAAAGGGGCGAGGAATTGGGACCGCGTATGGCAGAGACTCGCTATACCAAGACAAGGTGTTGGGGTATGAGAATGGGTGGGGGCCTGAGGGGTGGCTTGGAGCCCTGGCGGTGGCTGCCTGACGTCACCGGCCTCTCTGGCAATAGGCTGCGAGCTGGCTCCCTGAAGCGGCGGCGAAGGCGGCGGCAGCAGCGGCGGCAGCAGCACGGCTTGGTCTCTGGCCCCTTCACTCCGCGCCTTCTGCAGCCGCCACTGCAGCCGCGCGGCGGGGGGTCCCTCCCCCCTGCCCCAGCCCCTGCCCCTGCCCCAGCCACTGCCTCAGCCGCAGCTGGGTCCCCGGCCCCGGTTCGCCCGCCGCCTCTTTGCTCCGCAGTGCAACAGTTTGCAGCTGCCTCTTGGGAGCGGCAAGGAGGCTCTCTGAGCGCTGCGGGTCTACCTGACTCAGGTTTCAGGAAGAGCTTCTCAGGGGCCTCAGGCTGGGTCTGGGAAGGCCAGAGAGAAGGTCTGTTCCTCAAACTTTGCAGTCAGGAACCCTCCCCCTTGCAGTTGAGCTCGCCTAGAAAGGAGCAGGATACGGTTCAGTGTGTGTGTGGCGCGGGAGGGGGCAGGGAGCCGAGGAGGAGGGCGTTTGCGAGGATGTGCTTCAGCTGGGAAAGGAGCTTCAGCTGCTATTTGGGGGAGGGGGAGGGTGGTACCAGGGAAGAAGGCTGGAGAAAGATGGGATGCGATCCTGCTCGTCAGCCGCTGCCAGGGACTGAGGCAGAGTGGGATGGGGTTCCGGGGTGGCCTCTGGGAGTGGGACCTGCGGGATCTGACGCCGTCCAGGGAGGGAAAGTCCGGGGGAGGAGGAGCGAGGATTGCGGACCCGGAGCCCGCGGGGCGGCCGGGGTGCGTGCTGGAGTAGGATCTAGGAGAAACGTCCACGAAGAGGTAGCTGGAAAGGGAGCTGGCGCGCTGGGAACTAGGGACCTGATCTAGGCGGCTGCCGCGGCTGTTGCCATTAGAAAGTTGTGAGCGGCCAGGTAGGCTGCCTTATCTGCTGAGTAATCTGCACCTCGGTGGTGCGGGCTCAGACCCCTGCGAGGCGAGTGGCGCCAGCTGTCCCTGGTGACTTGTGCGCCGCCGAGGCTGGGCTGGGGTCCGCCGGCTGCGCAGAAGACGGGCAGCGCCCAGCTGGGGCAGGGTGCCCAGGGGCCGGCTTTGCGGCAGTGGCCGAGTCTTCTGGTCCTCCTCACTCCCTTGGGCTGAGGCCGGGATCCTAACTAAGCCTGTTCTCTTTGCAGCCTGGTGCCTCTGCGGAGGAAAAGGGCGTGCGGACGCGTTCCAGGCTGGACCCGAGCAGACCTCCCGGGCGCCGCTCACTCCCTGGCCGACTGGCTTGCCAGCAGTTGCTCGCTCAGTCCTTGGCTCGCGCGCGCACCCTCTCCCGCGCCAGGGAGTAGTTCTGGGTGGCGTGGGCTCCGTCCTTTTCTTAGCTGGTGGCAACGGTGCGCCCAAGAGGCGAAGCCTGGTGGGCCCGGCCCCTCCCAGCCCAGCGCCGATGAGTGCCAGGGCGCCGAAGGAGCTGAGGCTGGCGCTGCCGCCTTGTCTCCTCAACCGGACCTTTGCTTCCCCGAACGCCAGCGGCAGCGGCAACGCGGGTGCCCGTGGTCAGGTCGCAGGCGGTGGTGGCTGCACCTGCATCACGCAGGTGGGACAACAGCTCTTCCAGTCCTTCTCCTCTACGCTGGTGCTGATTGTCCTCGTCACCCTCATCTTCTGCCTCATCGTGCTGTCCCTCTCCACTTTCCACATCCACAAGCGTAGGATGAAGAAGCGGAAGATGCAGAGGGCTCAAGAGGAATACGAGCGGGATCATTGTAGCGGCAGTCGCGGTGGCGGGGGGCTGCCCCGGGCAGGCGGTCAGGCCCCAACCCAAGCAAAAGAAGCCCGGCTGGAGAGGCAGCCCCGGGACTCTGCCTTCTGCTCCCCTTCCAACGTCTCCTCTTCCTCCTCTTCGTCCCCTGGCCTCGCGTGCCAGGGTCCCTGTGCCCCTCCGCCTCCACCGCCAGCTCCCAGTCCACAAGGAGCACACGCAGCCTCCTCCTGTTTGGACACAGCTGGCGAGGGCCTTTTGCAAACGGTGGTACTGTCCTGATTGTCCAACCCTTCTCCTGTCTCACTCTTTGTTTCCAGCATCTTTGCCATCCTTGCTTTTATTTTTTTCTCCTCCCTTCCTTTTCCATTATCCTCTGGCCTCTCTCTTTCCTCTGCATTCTTTTCTGATCAGCCCTCCCCTTACTGTTTCTCCTCCGCCGAGGCACTGTGCGGTATTTGTAAATATTGGGCAAGGAAAGTCTCGGAAGAAGAAATAACGCTGATAATAATTTATTAATACTTATAGTAATTATTATAATACTAACAACACAGTCCAAGCGCATGACAAATCACATAATTTCTCATTGTCAGTGAAGGATGCATCTTCCCTCTCGACCCCGTGCCCCTCTCAATAAGGAGGAGAAACCGCACAAGCTACCAAATGTGTAAAAGGCAGAGGCAGAGGGAGAGGGCCCGGTAATGTTGTACATAGCTGTCGAGTTAAGGTTTAGTTATCTTCCTCCACCCGCTGAGCTTTCAGTTTCCTTTAGCTTCCCTCCCTTCCCCGTTTCCACTCTCAGCCGGGCTCAAGCAATAGTACATTATAAAGAAAACGTCTACATTAAGCACCAGGACTACAAGAGGCCACAGCAAAAGTCTCGGCAAATGTTGTGACAGGTACACCTCTCCACTCAGCCCTTTTCTCACCCATTACCTTCCCCAGGACAGAGCATTTTAATTTACTTTTAGAAATGTCCCTCGCTGGCCGAGCATTAGTACATTAGAATATTTAAATGAGTTTTTTTTTAATCTGCTTTTTGCTCACTGCCCAGCCCCCACCTGTACACCTTCGACTTGTGACATTTTTCAGGATTCACGGAAGATCCGGGAGCTGTCCAGCCAGGTCTGGTGATGAAATAGCCTCACTGTATTGGTTCCTTCTCTGGTTGCGCAGGCGGAGGAGGGGCTGTTTTGGAAAGTGACTATTCTGGTTTTTGCTCACTGCCCAGCCCCCACCTGTACACCTTCGACTTGTGACATTTTTCAGGATTCACGGAAGATCCGGGAGCTGTCCAGCCAGGTCTGGTGATGAAATAGCCTCACTGTATTGGTTCCTTCTCTGGTTGCGCAGGCGGAGGAGGGGCTGTTTTGGAAAGTGACTATTCTGGTTTTTGGTTAGTTTCTTTCTTTTTCTACAATCGGGTTAGTGTGTCCTGTTGGTTTTCCTATTATTAAACATTGCATTAGTTACCTTTTTTGTAAAAAAACAAAACAAAACAAAAAAAGTATTAGGTGATGTTCAGTACTGAAAGTGCAGTATCTAACCAACCAGAATGTTTCTGTTTTATTTTTAGAACAAGTGCACCTTTGTTATATATTTATTATATTGGTACCAAATACGGAAGAAAACTATAGTTCTGTACTATGTCCTTCAAACTGTATATTCTTGTTCCTAATTTCCAGCTGTTGATATAATGGGTACCACTGGATGAAGAATTCAGTGGTGCAGACCTGGCTTCTGCTGTTTCCAGAAGTGTTCTTTTGTACCTTACTCTGTAGTAGACTGTTATAACAAGATGACACATGTTTTCTTTTTCTCTTTTGCGAATAATAGAAACAACCACCACAACAGAAAACAAACATATAATGGATGTGCAGAAATGCCATCTATTAAAACATGGTTAATATTTAAACAGTGCCTGTAGTTCTCCCTGCATGCAGTTACCACCTGGAGGCAGTGGCGTGTGTGCTTGCTTGTACTGTGTGTGTTTGGGGGTGAGACTGGTGGGGATGTTGGGCAATTTGGATGACAGGACATGCAAATTTCAAGAGAAGTTAAGCCTAGTAACTACTCATAGGATAAAAATGTTTGCATTTGTTTAGTTAGGAGTCTGTGCCTCCATCTGAGCTTCAGCAAAAGAAGGGCTCTCTTCCTCTTTCTGAGTCTGGCTTGGCTAACTTCACTGAATATATGAAAAAATATTGAGGAAAAATGGGAGAAGAGAAATATTTTGTTCTCTTTTGCAATGACAGACAAGCCAACTGTCTAAGAAATGAAGTCTACCTATGGTTACTTACCACTTTGTTTCCCTTGAATGGATAATAGAAGGGACCAGAAGTGTATTATGACCTTAATTACATACAGTGGCATCCCTTCTTGAGAACCAATTCTTTGATAGATGTTCAAATGTATAAATGACAAAGATCTACAAAAAAAAAGTATAAATGAGAACGATCTACAAAGAAAAAAAACAACTCAACCAAAAGAGTCCTTACTACCCTGCAAGGTGAATAGCAACAGTGCCCCTAAGTGCATCCCTCTCCCAGTAACTTGTGGTTCTAGATTCTCTGTCTTGGTTTTAGGTATATGTGCTCTTATCCAGAGAAAACATTACCTCTGATGTTTTTGCTTATCTATTAAATTGCCCAAGCTACGTCTGCATCTTTTATAAAAAATAATTTAATAAACTTCATTTTAATCACCCATTAGATAGATATTCACCCAAATCCTTTCCTGAAGCACAGAAAATCAGCATTTAAGCATGCTATGTTGTAATATTAGGAAGACCAGGTATAACCTTTGGGTACACTATATTAAACAATGAACCAGATTTTCTCCAGTGCCTTAGTCACTTCCTAGTAATAGGTAAAAGAGTGCATTAACTCCCTCAGGCCACTAGGGACTCCTTTAGTGCATCAGAGCTCTAGATTGTATACCAGAATGACTAAGGCACTGTGAAGAAGAAAGTCCATTAATTTTTGTAGCTCACTCTCATCCAGCTATAGCTCTTTAATACCTTATACAGAATGACTTTTGGACTTGAAATTTGAAGAGAATCAGGGACCCAGAAGGGAGCTTCCTCATTTATAATGAGCTCCACTAACTGCATGAACGTTACTTTCTTCCCCTTATTTGGTGCACTTTTTACAGTGAATAATTTCCCATTTTATTAAAGCAATAAGATGTTCTGTTGTAAGCAATGCTGGATGATGATTCCATTTCCTTGGTGCTGAAGCTACTCATACATTCTTGCCTTATGAATCATACTGAATTCAAGGCATGCAATAATAATCCCCTTCCAAGGAGCAGCCTGCACATTCTGGGGGGTAATTACAAATTATCCTATATCATTTTTTCCCCAAAGGAATAGAGAGAGCAAGAGAAATAAATTCTTACGTGTATTTTTAAAAAGGATCTTGATATCTGTATCATGGGCATACATCTGTAATATTCTGTTACTGTGCACCTTTAAATGTGTATGCCTTTGACTGTGGTTCAGTATTTTTAATTGTGCTCTGTGTAAAGTTATCCAGTTTTCAGTCAAATTTCATACTGAGTTCAATATACTTAGAACCTTAAGCTTCTGGTGGTATGCATGCTATATTTTATGAGCTAGAAAGAGAATTACATGAAATTCTAGCGAGCCAGTCCCTAAACCAAATTCTCACCGTAAGCACATATCCAGGCAATGTGTAGAGACCCTGTTCAAAGCACTGCTTCTTACTGAGTTCAATTGAGAGTCTCAGGAGTTTGGGATGCTACTAACAGGGCATTTTGGTTTTCATTTATATGAAACAAAAGGCAATCTGGAAATAGCTAAATTTATTTTAAGGATTTTATTCATAGATGTCCCGTCAAGCTAATTGCTTCAAACCCCTATAGCTACAGTTCAACTTCTGCACTTGCTATTCAGTATTAATAAGGTGGCATGCTTGATTCTTATTGTTTTTAAAAATGAGAAAATTGGGGAGAGAATGCCGTTACGTCAACTGTATGGGTCTCCGAATCTTAAAGACGTAGATGGGTATAATCTTTAGAATTTATATACACCCATAGATATGTATTTATATATGCATACATTTTGTATAAATTTACAATGGACTTTTTGTATTCTCTTTTCTGTCATTACAAGAATGAGATGGAAACCAAATAGTTGTTCCATCCTCTTATCCACAGAGGATACTGAGAAGTCAGGTATATGCATGCACTTATTTCTCTGGGGTCAAATCTGAATGACTTTCTCTTTTAGTAAAAGGAGAGAATCCTGGTTGGCTTGAGAAACTGGTAATTAAATAAGCTTCCTTTTCTAGGTTAATGACTCAAATGTAGAAATGATAATGAAGTTATGAGCATATGATGTGATCCAAATATCTAGATAGAACACAAAAATATCCACAAGAGGTTTAAGAGTCATCTAGACTACATACTGGATGGTGGTTTGATGTTTCATCTTTAACCTATATGTTGTCTGGAGACAGAACTTATATCCATCCCCATAGCTAAAGGTAAAGTGAAAATACGACCATTGTCTGTTTACTTTGATAAGTAGTATTTGGGAAATATGGATAAATTTGCCTTAAAATGACATCTAACTTTCACTGTTTCTATCTGCGTTAATCATTCAGTTACACAGATAATGGCTAAAATTTCATTTATTTCATTGTACAGACATATTTTAAATGCCTTCCTGTGGGTAACAGTTGAGCAATTGCTACCTGATAGTAGATGGAAATTATAGGTTAAATTAGAGCCAGAAATGTGAATCTAACCTGGTCAGGCTTCTCAGGTCTATTCCCATGTGACTCTGGACAACATATTTGAATCTGAAAAACCACTTATCTGGGCCATTCTTTTTTGTAATTAGTGAATGTGGCTCAAAGATGCTTCAGTTCATATTAGAAGGAATTTTCCTATCTAAAGAGGTCATTTAGTGATTGAACTGAACATAAATCTGATTCTGATTTGGCACTTTTTTTTATTTGCTTGGTAACATTTGAGAAACAGCTTATATAGCTTGACACCAATACTTCTTAATGTTACCAACCTAGTAATACAGTTGGTACCATGTAGGAATGCTTAGCTGAGAATAAGAATTTAATTAACTTTAATCGAGTACAATGACTTATCAAGGAGGTCCTACCTGTTTGAGATGGGAATATTTCCCTGATACTTGTGATCACATTGCGTTGTTTCTTTAGAGAAATGAACACCACCACCACCAACGGTGATGATGACGACAACAGAAAAATTGGTTTTTGAACTTGAGTATATTCAACAGATAGAATAAAACAGATATTAGAGTTCATGGGAAATTTGTTTTGCTTTTTTATCAATAAAAGAGTTTTCTTGTTAATTGGCCTTTTGGACACTATCTCCTTATTAATTCAATTTATGCTATCACAGGGTTACAAAATTACTCATTGTGCTACCTTCAGCTTCTCAAAGAAATGATAGCGACTTTGAAAAAAATTATAACTCATCTGCCCTTTCTTACAAGCCAGCTGCATCTCAGACATGCAATGCATATAAATTTTAGTCTAACTCGTTAAACTGAGCTCAGCGTAATAATTTAGCAGCCCCCTCGGGGAGATACTCAGGATCTTCTGGTCATATATCATAGGCTCTCA